AGTAAAATGAATTTTGATCAAACTTTACCTGTGACTACAAGTGTACAGGTGCTGGTCATATAATTAGAATATCATCAAAAAGTTGATTTATTTCAGTAATTCCATTCAAAAAGTGAAACTTGTATAATGTATACATTCATTCCACACAGACTGATATATTTCAAGTGTTCATTCCTTTTAATTTTGATGATTATAACTGACAACCAATGAAAACCCCCCAAATCAGTATCTCAGAAAAGTAGAATATTGTGAAAAGGTTCAATATTGAAGACACCTGGTGCCACACTCTAATCAGCTAATTAACTCAAAACACCTGCAAAGGCCTTTAAATAGTCTCTCAGTCTAGTTCTGTAGGCTGCACAATCATTGGGAAGACTGCTGACTTGACAGCTGTCCAAAAGACGACCATTGACACCTTGCACAAGGAGGGCAAGACACAAAAGGTCATTGCTAAAGAGGCTGGCTGTTCACAGAGCTCTGTGTCCAAGCACATTTATAGAGAGGCGAAGGGAAGGAAAAGATGTGGTAGAAAAATGTGTACAAGCAATAGGGATAACCGCACCCTGGAGAGGATTGTGAAACAAAACCCATTCAAAAATGTGGGGGAGATTCACAAAGAGTGGACTGCAGCTGGAGTCAGTGCTTCAAGAACCACCACGCACAGACGTATGCAAGACATGGGTTTCAGCTGTCGCATTCCTTGTGTCAAGCCACTCTTGAACAAGACACAGCGTCAGAAGCGTCTCGCCTGGGCTAAAGACAAAAAGGACTGGACTGCTGCTGAGTGGTCCAAAGTTATGTTCTCTGATGAAAGTAAATTTTGCATTTCCTTTGGAAATCAAGGTCCCAGAGTCTGGAGGAAGAGAGGAGAGGCACAGAATCTACGTTGCTTGAAGTCCAGTGTAAAGTTTCCACAGTCAGTGATGGTTTGGGTGCCATGTCATCTGCTGGTGTTGGTCCACTGTGTTTTCTGAGGTCCAAGGTCAACGCAGCCGTCTACCAGGAAGTTTTAGAGCACTTCATGCTTCCTGCTGCTGACCAACTTTATGGAGACGCAGATTTCATTTTCCAACAGGACTTGGCACCTGCACACAGTGCCAAAGCTACCAGTACCTGGTTTAAGGACCACGGTATCCCTGTTCTTAATTGGCCAGCAAACTCGCCTGACCTTAACCCTATGGAAAATCTATGGGGTATTGTGAAGAGGAAGATGCGATACGCCAGACCCAACAATGCAGAAGAGCTGAAGGCCACTATCAGAGCAACCTGGGCTCTCATAACACCTGAGCAGTGCCACAGACTGATGGACTCCATGCCACGCCGCATTGCTGCAGTAATTCAGGCAAAAGGAGCCCCAACTAAGTATTAAGTGCTGTACATGCTCATACTTTTCATGTTCATTCTTTTCAGTTGGCCAACATTTCTAAAAATCCTTTTTTTTTATTGGTCTTAAGTAATATTCTAATTTTCAGAGATACTGAATTTGGGATTTTCATTAGTTGTCAGTTTTAATCATCACAATTAAATGAAATAAACATTTGAAATATATCAGTCTGTGTGTAATGAATGAATATAATATCCAAGTTTCACTTTTTGAATGGAATTACTGAAATAAATCAAGTTGTTGATGTAATTATAATTATATGACCAGCACCTGTATTTCTAACTAATACAATATAATGTAACATAATATGTGTGAGCAGGTATGACAGAAACTGTAGTAATGTTGAAAAACATGTGACCTGTGAGTTTTCTTTCATCATCTCCTCTTGGAAAATACCAAAAGCTTTTTTTACTGGAATCAGGAAGGAAAAGAGAGCAGGTGCAGAAAGTTCCTTAGACTGAAAACTGTGAAAACATTTTTTATCTTAAGGAACGCCATCATGCTGCCAACATCCTGGTTAGTCCAGATCATCCTGTGTTTCTGACTCAGTGAAATTCCATCTCACTTACCTTTCACTTTTTGTTCACATGCAAACATTGTTTTGTTCACTCGATAAAATGGTCTTTGACTCTCTTTATCCCGCTGTCCATTTTATTTATGAACATCTATCTTATTACTGTTCTTAAGAATTTTAAGCAACATTACGGCAGCATTTAGCTCCACAGAGCTGGAACACATTTACAGAAGAAATACACTGTGGCCTAAATTTAATAACCTTTATATCCAGATTACAAACTTTAATGGTCTCACTGACTAAGACTCAGCTTTAGCACTTACATTGTCCACCTCCTCTCCACCAGACAAAAGTATTTGTCTCTTTAGCTTCTATATCTACTTAAGTAGTTCCTTTAATTGTACTTGATGCTATTTATGCGTAGGAATACAGACGTTCTACTGTTGAGAACATAAAGTTCCAAAGGAAAATACTGTCTGATGCAAAGAGCTGATAATACTCTACATATAGCGTAACTTTGAACTGATATCGATTTTTTCTGGTCGGCCTTCTATCAGGAGGCTAAAATACATTTTGCAGCTCTCCACAGCAGTACATTAGTTAGCTCCTGTGCCGGTGCAACTCTCTGCTTGTCCAAACTGGGGGCACGCTGACTGCCATCTACTGCAGCTACGACACTGACTATCAATAAGCACCTTATTTAGCTCCACTTTAAAAATCCCAAACCTTCCCATCAAGATAATGGAGATTATAATGTACAAATGAAATGTTTGATAATTAAACAGAAGTAGTCAATACAGATGCTGATTCTTACAAACTTCTACAGATAAATTTCAACGGTTGTAAATGAAGACACAAAAGGCAAACCTATCTATAATGCTTCTGAGCTCATTTTAACAGGGTTTTGATACCATTCAAAGGTTTAGGTGGGGAGGCCCAAAAAGGCTTGGGTGCTGTGCCATTAATGTAAAATAAGTTGTAGACAGCTTCAAAACTAACTAAATGACTTTCCCTAGATGTAATGGTGTTAGTCGGTCCCCAGTGGACTTCTTCAGCAAGTTTCGTCTTTAAGCCTTTTGGCTGTTTATGTGCTCAAACTTTTCCAACTTTTTGCACACAAACATGGTAAAAATAATAATAGTAATCCAAAATGATTTGAATTGTTATGTTTTCATTGAAAAACAGAAATAAAACGCAGACTTTGTAAGGTATTCCACTAAAGCTATACTAACACACAGTGACTGGAAATTGGATTGACATTACTGTCTTTACTAAAATGACTTTTGACCAAACTGTATTTATGTATGTCACTGTATTTCTAACTAATAACAATATAATGTAACATAATATGTGTGAGCAGGTATGACAGAAACTGTAGTAATGTGGAAAAACATGTGACCTGTGAGTTTTCTTTCATCATCTCCTCATTCCAGTAAAAAAATACTGGAATGAGGAAGGAAAAGAGAGCAGGTGCAGAAAGTTCCTTGAACTGAAAACTGAAAACATTTTTTTATGTTAAGGAACGCCATCATGCTGCCAACATCCTGGTTAGTCCAGATCATCCTGTGTTTCTGACTCAGTGAAATTCCATCTCACTTACCTTTCACTCGTTGTTCACATGCAAACATTGTTTTGTTCACTCGATAAAATGGTCTTTGACTCTCTTTATCCCGCTGTCCATTTTATTTATGAACATCTATCTTATTACTGTTCTTAAGAATTTTAAGCAACATTACGGCAGCATTTAGCTCCACAGAGCTGGAACACATTTACAGAAGAAATACACTGTGGCCTAAATTTAATAACCTTTATATCCAGATTACAAACTTTAATTTTCTGCATTGACAGTGACTCCAGGCAAATTTATACTTTGACAAAAGCTCATTTAGTCAAACAAATATTCCATTTCTGGGGCATGTCATATCAAAGGAGGGCCTGTCCAGATCACCTTACTGCCTTCGCTGAAACTCCTGCCTCAAAGACATGGCAGCACTACCTCCTGGGCTTAACTTCCTGGTTCAGCAAGTTCCTGCAAAAGTATGCAACCGAGGTTGAACCACTTCGACAGCTGCTGTGAACCAAGACAGTACTTGACTCACAACGTAACAGGACTTGTGGGAAAAAATACTTTTATTAAAGCTGAATTTTTAAGTTTTTGCATGCTTGCAAAATTTTTATTAAAAAGCTCTTGCTTAATTTCTCCCATATACCCTTTAATATAAAAGAAGGGTAGTGTGTCAGTGAGTGAGATTGTAATATTGCAATATACACTTTTTTTTTTTTAGCTTTTTGCTGAATAATATTGTGAAAATATTAAGATATTGTTACCTCTATAATACAGCAAACAGTAGAGTCAGATGATGTGTGGTAATTGAAACAGTCCAGCGTGTCCAAACAGGTGTGCCCCTGCTCTTTGTCCACTTTTTTTCTTCAGGAGAAAGAAATGTTAAATCTCTTTCCCCCAGCTCTCTAATGAAGTCATCCAGCCAGGAGTTATCTATGTTGTCATCCTGGAGTTATGTTAGGCCTGTCATGGTTCAGTTGCTCACCACCTGCACATGTCCTCGTACCTGTACAAACAAGTACTGGTAGTTAGAACAATCGCACCGCCAGCCCCGGCATGGGGGGCAGGGGAGTTGCCATTGGTAAGGGGTTCAGTAACTTCTTTGGCAGGCTCTCCACACAGGCCATATTTGTTGTTATCCTTTGGGCCAAAATGTTTCCTTTTGTCCCTACATAGTTAATATGAGGCTTATACCATCGGAATAATTTATCAATATGTAAGAAGACTTCAACGGTTCTATCTCGTTCTCCCCACTGGACCACAAAACCGGTGCTGAATTAGGTCTCCCATTCTTTAGACATGATGGGGTAGCCTTTATGCTGCTCCGGGGCCCCCTCCCTGCGTTTTGAATGACAGAGTTGTCGTAGCACAATCTAAGAAGGATTCTGGGTCGTAGACTTTGAGGTCAGTTTCTACACGGTAGACTTCTTCAGGCACAGACCCGCACCACTGTGTGTTGTATATCTATTTTGAATCACTCAATTCTTTACAGACTACTGACTTTCTGAAGTCACACCACGCTTCGGCCGAAAAAAAGAATGCGCGGTGTGTCGCAAGAAACAACTCATCAAGCTTTCGTGTATAAAGATGTTCTCTGCTCAAATAAGTATCCAGGCATCATAAAATCTTCCACAGCCCATTTAAACTGAGGCCTAATGATACTCACGTTGTTATAAACATCACAGGCTTTTCTGGTTTCGGTAATGTCAAGGATGAAGACTCGCCGGCTGACCCGGTCCGAGCGCTGGTTCTGCTGTTCTACAGGCCCCCGGCTGATCCCGACGCTGAATCCCTCCTCAACGTGTTGCTGCTACCGAGGAACGTGGTGCTCCGGGATGTGCTGCGCACCAGGAAGAAATTAGTTGGAGATGAGAGCTACATAGAGACGTCCCCACACTGTAAACTGCAGCCAAAGCAGGAATACACACTGTCCACTTGTCCTGCAGAGGACTCAGTTCTAGTTCAACCAACAGAAGCAGAGTTTGACTGCGACAACTACGACAACTACTTCCCATCATTCCAGGTGATTTTAGAAACAATGAGGAAACACGTGAAGCTGTTTCTGAGAGACACCAACAGCTCCCACAGTGTCTGGGAAAGACGAGTTTGTCTCACTGGAGTAAAAAGGTCCTGTGGGCCGAGCGCTCTGAATCTCTCTTCAGATAAGAGGCTGTTGGACATACGGAGCAGCTTCATCGAGGGGATATCAGGACCGGTTCTCACAAGTCTGCTGGACAAACTGTTTGAGAAAACGGTGATAGCTGAAGCCGAGAAGGAGTCAGCGGACGAGATGCAGAACAGAAGAGACAAAGCTCGTTTTGTTATCGACTCAGTGAGGAAGAAAGGTGAAGCTGCTAGTTCAGAGATGATTGAGTTCCTCTGTGAGGCCGACCCCTTCCTCTGTGAACATCTCAGCTTGATCTGAAGACAAATCAACAGGTGATGCAGAACATGTTGACCTGGTGGCCAGAAACTGATCATCCTGTAACTCCCACAAAATACTTTTAACTGGATCAGTCACTGTTTTGATCTTGAGTATTTCGCCTTGACTTATTGCTTGAACTGTTAAATTACAGTTTTCCAAGTAGGTTTTTTTATATTTGACAAAAATATGGGAACCTATTGTGAATCCAATGAATGTAAATCAATTTAGTTTGGTTTGTTGTAATTTCTAATGTAACATTTGTGGCCAATTGTTTTTATAAATGATTCCCTTCATCAACTGTACAATATTTTTTAAGAACCATAGATATGGACAGTTTTTAAAAGTTGAATTTAAAAATTGTTTTTCTTACTTACTATATACAGTATCTTGACTGCAGTCCCACTTTTTATTATCTCTTATCACCTGATTCTGACATGACTCACACTTTATATTTGATTTTAGTACACTTTTCATGTTTGTTGTTTTTTTATTTAATTTACTTTTTTTTTTTTATTATTGTATTGCTTTCTGTAAGGTCCCAAAAAGAACAAAAAGAAGAATGTTTTTTACGTTTTTATGGTGTTATAAGGCTGATTGGGCTGGGCCAACACCTGTGTAGCTCTACTGTCAGAGCTTATTTAACCAGGACTGATCATTCTGTCGTTCTCTCACTGGGTTTGTTCTGTGTTTTTCTAGTCCGGTCACATTTACTGCAGATGAGCTGTGGTGCAAGTGAAACAACAGTTTTTTCAGCCTAGTATTAAGTGAATAATTGAAGGCGAATAATTCCCCTCCTGGAGATCTTTACTGTCTTATTATATCACACCTTAATTTATCTTATCTTGGTGTGTCAAAATAAATGTTTATTTGATGTTGTACCTGCCTGCACGGACGGTTCCATTTAAACACAACTCACTGCTTACACTCAATTACCAAATTTCCAACACACTCCTAGCAAAATTTTACACATGTATGGCTAACATTAACACTATTTTGCCAACTGTCTGGCACACTTTCACATGTGAAAACTGTTTTAGATAGTTAGTTCACTTTGCAATCAGCCTAAGCACTATAAATAAGCCACAGGTAAGCTGTCTGTGTGGGGTACAATGGAAGGAACAGTAAGAGTGAGAAGAGTGAGAATCAGAGGAGGCCGAGGAGGCCGAGGAAGAGGACGTGGAGGTGAAGAAGTTGGAGGAAGAGGACGTGGAGGTGAAGAAGCGAGAGGGTTAGAGGAAGTTAGAGGAAGAGGACAAGGAGGAGCAAGAAGAGGACGAGGAGGGGAAAGAGGAAGGGTAAGAAGAGTAAGAAATAGAATAATTGATGACATCAAAGCTACAATAGTGGACCATGTCATCAACCATGGGATGACCCTGAGGGAAGCTGGCCTGGTTCAGCCTAATTTGAGCCGCTACACTGTGGCAAGCATCATTAGGACATTTCGAAATGAGAATCGGTAAGTACTTTGTAGCACTGCCATACTCTAATGAGAAACACAACAGTACCATACATGCAAAAATACTGAAATTGTTACTTTACAGAATTGCTAGACGTCCACATGTTGGGGGCAGAGGAAGAATGTTCACTCCAGAGCAAGAGACCCATATAGTGAACATGGTGATTGCCAATAATGCAATAAGACTGCGCGAAATACAGCAGCGCATAATTGATAATGACACCATCTTTCAAAATATACACAGTGTAAGCATTTCTGCACTAAGTCGTGTACTTGCGCTCCACAGAATAAGAATGAAGAAAATTTACAGAGTTCCTTTCGAGAGAAACACAGAACGTGTAAAGCAGCTGCGATATGACTATGTGCAGGTAAGCTATAGTGTCATTGGTTCTGAATTTGGAAGTGCAGACTGTAGTGCTGTGCATGGGCCTGATGTGTTGCATTTGTTTTGTCTTGTCCAGAGAGTGATGGAACTAGAATCATCAATGTCCCAGGACAACGTGGTGGTAACATAACCATGTGTGCAGCTATAAGCCAAAATGGTGTTGTTCACCATCATACAACCATAGGCCCATACAACACTGCACACATTATTGCATTCCTGGACACCTTACATGACATGCTCACTGTTCAGAGACCAGAGCAGACCCGATATGTCATCATATGGGACAATGTTAGTTTCCATAGGGCTGCTTTGGTCCGCAACTGGTTTACAGACCACCCATTCTTCATGGCACTCAACCTCCCTCCATACTGTCCATTCTTAAATCCCATTGAGGAGTTCTTCTCTGCCTGGCGCTGGAAAGTGTACGACCGTCATCCTCATCAACAGGTAGCCCTTTTACAGGCAATTGAGGAGGCATGTGGAGATATTGACCAGGCATCATGTCAGGCCTGGATACGGCATTCAAGGAGATATTTTCCCCGGTGCCTTGGACTGGAGGATATCGCATGCGATGTGGACGAAATTTTGTGGCCGGACCCAGAAAGACGACATGATGTAGGCTGATTGTTTTTATTTATTTTTTTTGTGAAATTACTATTTTGTGTTCTGACTTTGTCTTGGTTTTGATGAGTGTGAATAAACACCAATACTTTAAGTTTGGATCCTTGTATGTTTACATGACACTATGACAAAAGTATGACCTCAAATTGACATCTGTACACAGAGAAAGCAAAAGCCAGATGTGTTTTGTATTCATACCATCAGTGTGTAGTTGGCACATTGTGTGCTTAGTAGATGATGGCTTGTGTTTACTGTTTGATGCGAAAACACCATTTTTACGAAGGTGTGAAGAGTTAATCTAGCTGTGTTCGCTCTTGCAAGAGAACTACAATGTTTTGATAATTGGGTGAAAGGTTTTCTTATTTGTGTGTAGAGTTTTGCAAAAATAGCCAATAGTTACAAAAAATGTGCTTAAGCAATCAGAAAAAACTGTAACTTCAATATATGGTTTGTCCCAGAAGCCACCGCGCACAAAACGCTTTATCTCAATGCTTGGCCGTTAAAAAAGAGGTGTCAAGTGTACGTTATGTTATTTACCATACTATACTTATATATTATTAGTATAGTGTATTTCTACTATTATTCCTGCAAATATTTATTTATAATAGCCTAATGATAATAATAAAGCAATGTTTCAATTCATACCACTGTTGTATATTTTTTTTCTTCCAAAGCGATTTTAAGTTTCACAAACCAAGAATAATAATGTTAATGTAATGTTACATCACGATTTAGGTTAAAACTTTATAACATTACTGAGAATTTAATGATAGAATAACAGCGGTACGAACTTTAACACTAACTAACTATTCCTGACAGCCCCCGAAGTATATTCCTCTTACCCCTAACCATCAGAGGGCGTATGCCTAAAGTTATTGATTATATGCATGTCGACCGGTTAACCTCCATTGTGTTGCTGTTCAGCCTCCGGTAACGTTACTGCAGCTTCTCAACTCCGAAAACGTTTGAACACATTTTCGATTTGCCAATTTTCGTAAAACTGCCAATATTCGAAATCTACACAGTTGATTTCTCGCCTAAAAACTTCTCAGAAGTGGATTTAAAGTTCTGTTGTTGGCCTCTAAAGAATAAAATGCATTAGGACCTTTACTGTACGTGAGCCGAGATAGCGTCATCACATTTTGTGTGCGGTGTCTTCTGGGACAAACCATATTTGGAAGTTCAACTTCCGTCAACTTCCATCACGTTCGTCTGCGGGCTGCAGCTGGATATACTTTCCGGCGAAAGTCGAAGAATAAACTCTTTTCTTCCCACTGCTTCTGCCCCCTTTCCTTTCATCTGTCTTCAATTACAATCTTAATTTTTGCTACTAGACATTTCTACACTGTAAACTGATAAACCATCATTGATTATGTCCCCCACCTTAAGGTTAAATCTGAATATAACTGTAGTGGTGACTTTCTGTATGTTACAGAATTTCTATTTAATGTTTGGAAAATTCTAAATAAACTCCTTATCCTTGTTTTTATTTTCAAATCATTTAAAATCTAGAGTAGGAGCAGGATGTACACTGTAAAAAATGATTCTGTGGTCATGTAGATTTGAATTAATGTATTCGGTAAAATATTTTCAATATGATTGTGTTTTTGATTTTGAGGCAAATATTTAATTAAATTTCAAATAAAAATGTTTGGAAAAAAATCCACCCATTGTAGTTAAATAAAACATAAGCATTATATTTATTTAATCCCAAATAGAGAGAATATTGAGTGAATTCAAATTAATGTAATCAAGCAAATTTTAATTGAAGAACACTTCCTGTCAAATAATGCAGATGTGTTTTATTTAAACACACTTTTATTGCATCCATCTGCTGTCTCTGACAATCTGAAAGCGTGTGTTTGTTGTATGGTGAATTCTCCAAAATCCTGTTGGTCATGTATTGATAAAACATTTAGAATTGTAAACACTGGTCAGTCATTATTTCAATGAAACCCCTACCAAGATGTGTCGATATCAAAAGTGATGAATATATTCAAACAATATAAAATATCATGCCAACAATAAACATAAATGGCTCCTACAAACGTATTTGCATATTTGCAGGAACATGAAGTAAATTTAAATTGACATATTCCAGCAGAAAAACCTCAAAATATGAGGTATCTTTTCTATATCTCTAAACTGTTTAAACTGATTTAAACCTGAATGTAATAAGGAGGATAAAATGAGCAAACCATGTGGCACTTGATATTGTGATAAATAGTTATTTACTTATCTTAAAGATATTGATTTTACAAGTCAGCACCATCACAACGTTACGGACAACATTTCCCTGCATCAGCTAGCCTCTAAATCTCTGCAGGTGAAGCCCTGAGTAGTCTGGGTAAATATTTAAATCTATGACTGGATCTGTGTGAAGGAATAACCAGAAACCATTAGAGACACTGGGTTTGAAACACAACTGGGTTTTATTGGTAAATTTTACGTCATCACAGTTATAAAGGTTAACAAAGTGAGAGAGAGGGAGCTGCTGCACCGGTGAAGAGACATGCTGGGCTTATTGAACAAAATCCATGAACCAATTTTAAACAAACGATAAGAAAATATCTAAATATCTGGTTAAATGCTGCTAATTAAGAAGCCAAGTGAGAGGAAAACCTAAATGCAAATCAGAAATGTATAATTAACTAGTTGAAGATATTAAATCATTTCACAGTCTAGCCTATTTATATAGACATACAAAGAAAACCCAAACATATCAGGATGCCACACTAACTATTTCCTTGGGATCAGGCAGGGAGGAAGAATAAAAACTGTCCAAGCTCATATTTTTAAGCACCCAGGGCCTATTTTTTTAAACAATAAATAAAATCCATAGGCCTACGAAAGTGTATGTGTGCAGGTGGTGAAGATCTGCTGGGTGAGTCGAGGTGAGAAGGCCGATCTGTCTGTGCGCGGTGTCTCAGTGCGCTCTGTGCGCCTGGCAGCACAGTCTGTTCACTGCAGCGATTTCACACACAAAAATTATATATTGAGAATTTACTGTTTTCGTGATTCCACTATCTGCCATTGCTGATTCCCGTGTCTGACTAATTTTGCGTGAGCGCATGAGAAAGGATGAGTGGAAACTCCATCCGTGCGTTTTTCCGCCAGAGGACTTATTGCTTTGATGTAGCACAAAAATAAATTATTAGGCTATTATTAATAAAGAATACAATTGTTTGTTTTTGAAAATAAGAGTGACTGCTTGCATTAAAATTATATACACAAAACAACTAATAATTTACTTTCTGGGTTCAGACAAATGTTGAAAACAGTCGGTCTCGATTGTCGAAGGTGCAGTTCACCCCACAGCTCAAGCAGGTGTGGACCAGGGGAAATGCCATTTGCTCTGTGCAAAAAATAACATGAATGCTTGTGAAACCGAAAGAAGAAACATGAGTTGGTGGCACTGATGCCTACATGCAGTCAACACACTTACACGGAAGACCTAAGTGAACTGCGGATGTGTTTTACCGGGTCCACCTGAGAAACGCTGATATCCCCGCTAAAGTAAACCCGCCGGCGTCCTCCGACCAGGTCTGATTCATGGAAGGACAACGTCTGTCCAAGAGGCCGGCAAAGACACGCAGCGACCCAGAGATGTAGCCTGCGTTAGACTCTCCTTATTGGTAAGTGGAGAACGTCAACACACACACACACACACACACACACACACACACACAAAGATTACTTTAGGGTGTCATTTCGTTTTAAAGCAATCAGTCACAGTTTTTGGGTTCTTGGTATTTTTGATTTTGCTGTTGTTGTTTGTGGTAAGACCTTCCTCTTGCGTCTCATGTGTTTTGTTCTTTGTCTCTGTGTTGTGTGTTCTGTTTGTCATTTGTTCATTTGCCACTGTTTTACTTTGAAGTTGCTGTGTCCTTGGTGTCATTTTATTGTCTTATTTCCTGTCTGTGTTCAAAATCTGCATGTACCACAGCTTTTCAGAGTGTGTGTGTGTGTGTGTGTGTGTGTGTGTGTGTGTGTGTGTGTGTGTGTGTGTGTAACTCAGGCAAAGGCTGCTGCACTGAAGCAACACACACTGGAGGTGTTGGATTTTTAACCACATATAAACTGTTGGATAATAGATGATAGTGGCCTCTACATGGCTCCTGGCAGCAGTTTCTGTAATAAAAGCAGACAGAAATGCTCCATGACCATCACGCCACATAAATGCATTTTACAAGTATAGAGGAGTAAACTGTAATTGTTAATTGTACTTGACATTATCTTTTTTGCTCACCAGCCTCTGTTGCTAGTTGTTTTCCAAAGTTACTAGCCACACAGCATTTTCAGCCACATTTATGTTGTTGGGAAATTATGTTTAATATGATTAAAGTTGACTATTGTGCTAAAATTTACTTGAACTAAATTTGCAACCCTTTTAAATGTAGATAAACACTGTACCCAAATCAAGAATACATAAATTGTATAACTTCAGGTCATTGTAATTAGCTCTGATTAGGTTGTGTGTAAAGCGCCTTTTTATGAAAACATCTCGGCCTAGTCTATGAAGATTAAAACAAAAAAAGTAGCTTCTTATTGCATATAATAAAAGTGGTGCATGGTTGTAGAAGGTTAATTGAATATAAAAACTAAACTGGCATCAAAACATTATATTTATTTACAACAGCAGTAAATACTGTAATACAGAAAATGATCTGCAAGTGAAACAAGGAGCAAAGATGAACAAATTCTTTTTGTCCAACTGACGGCTTACGGGTCTTTAGGTCGAAGGGACTGTGGTTTGATGACTCAACTTATATATTCTCATTTCACAAAAGTTTTGATGTCATATTTGGAGCACGCACCCTCGCGCTGGGACACTGCAGCAAGAGGGTGAGAAGCGCTTGACATGTGGATTCTCCTGCTTGATATTATAAAAAAGCTTGCTGTATTATCGCTGGTCAAGTTGACACTTAACCGTAGGCCCTAAAGTGTCATTTATACTTCTGCGTCGAACCACCTCCTCAAAAATGTAACTACACGTCAAGTCGATGTAGTCGATGTAATGTATAGCGAAATGACTTGTTTTACTATCCGAATGTGATCCATTCGGTTGATAACATTTGAAAAGGCTACATCAGCCGCACGTATACAATTTTACCCCCATTCACGTTAGCGGAGGGCTAACTGGAAGTTAGCCTGCTGGGCTGAGCTACGCCATAGGCTATGCGCGTAGCCAGGCATTTATACTTGTGCGTCAGTGTCTGCGTCATTCAATTCAATTCAATTCAATTTTATTTATATGGCGCCAAATCACAACAACAGTTATCTCACAGCGCTTCTGCAATTACATCCCCAAACGCTAGTCGGCAGTAGCGCTACAGCGTCCACTGTGTTGACTTTTGGCTTAGGCCCTATGCAGGAGTATAAATCAAGTTTAACAGCCCTCATGCCACTTGGGAATATTTCAGTGCTCCAGAACAATTCAGGAAAAATTCAAAATATAAAGAATACAACAGAATATGATGCAATGATCAGTAGCTTGATTTTTAGCTTAAGTTACATTTTTTGGACAATGCAAATCTCAAAGCATTTTCATTTGTTAGTTAACATTTCTTGCTATTTTTCATAATACATTTATCAAATCCTTTTAAAAAGTGATGGGGAGAAAATCACCCACTTCAAAAGGTGGTGGGGACATGTCTCCAGCATCCCGGGTGTCTCACATCAGCTAGGAGGATGCAAGCACATGAGAAAAGTAGCTAGCCCTGCAAACACGTGGATCAGAAAACAAAAAGCAAACACACATCTACCAACTACAACCAACTTAAGCAGAGTTTAATCCGTCGAAACAACAGCTGTATAGATATAGAGTCCGACTTACATCATCTCTCACTGTTTACAGGCAACTCCCACAATGAAAAGAAACTCTGACACGTCATGTCTCCGGTATTTAAGCGTAGCTTGTGCAACTACGTACGTTACTGCCGTAATTGCCAACCATATTGTGACCTAGCCTTTGTTTTTGGACTGTTCACCTGTTTTCACCTGGTTGTTTAATAAAAACTCATTAAACCTTACCTCCATCTTCAGTCCATTCTCACTCCCAAGTTGTCACATAGCCTACGGATGGTCAAGACCCCTTGCTGTCAGTTTGTAACACACTGGGGAGCCCTCTAGCATCATAGTTCAATGTGCTGGGCAAAGCAAATAGTCCAAGTAAGGAAGGTGGTTGGGGTGGATGAGTGGAACACAAGCCAGACTTTCACCAAGAGACTGGTGTTTGTTCCTGTGTGAAACAAAAAGTCAACGTTGAGGGTTTTGTAGTAGTTTTGTTCCTAAACCTAACCAAATTGCAATGTTTCAACAACATACCCTTTCACAACGTTAAACACTCATTTTCTTTTGAAAGTCTAACCAGATGTTGCATATTTATTCTACCAATCTGACCATGGAGCTCTACACGTTTTTATCCCAGGGCGATAAAAAGTGACCCCAAGGGGTCTTGACCAAGCATCCGAATGTGACGGGTTGGACATTGTAATGATGAAACAAGTGTGTAATTGCTCTAACTTCTATTTGAAACAGAAAGGAACCAGCTTAAGTGAACTGGCTCAGCTTTGTGAAGACTGAAATCTGCTTGTTGGTGAGTGCAGCTTTCATTTTGAATAATTGAGCTGCTTCTTGAGCGTGCAAAGGTTTGAACCGGGAAAGTACGCACCAATGTTGAAATGTGTTTTAAAATCTAAAAAAACTTTTTTTCTTTTAAAAGGATTTTAATTTTCCTTTTAGGGTCTGGGACCAGATGAACAACGCAGCAGAAGAACATGTTTTAAAAGTTTCTATTTGAAATCAAGTCGAAAAAAGAAAAGATGGAACAAAAAAAGGGAAAAACTCCCTCTCCCTTCTCTGCAGGGTATAATGTAGACAGTTGTAAGAAGGCAGGTGACACAGCACAAGCCAAGAAGGAAGGGTTGAATGAGGATGGAAATGAATCATTAGACAAAAAAATTCAAACTTCCTTCTCAGAGAAACAGACTGCAGAAGAGAAGTATTCAGAGAAGGATGAGCTGCCGAGCAAAAGTGTCCTCAGAAGGTATCATGAGATTTCCGTAGGTTCTGCCTCTCCCTCCAGCTTCTGTAAATCTATAATACATCCTGACGTCCGGCTTCCTCATCATCACCTCAGACGACAGAACATCAGCTCTGCCCAGTCTGTGCATGATACTGTCAGACATCAATCTCAACAGTCATCTGGCCCCTCATACAACCAGCTGTTCAACCGCCTGAGCCCTGTCTACAGCAGCAAAACACAAGGTGAGGTGGGGAAAAACACAGATGAGCTTTCACCCACAACAACAGCCCATCATGACCCAGACATAGAACAATATGATACGAGTCTTCCATCTGAACCTTCACATGAAATGTTAGACAGATCATATTTATGGAATGCCTCCATTTCAGCACCACAACGTTCCCAGGAAGGAGTGTCCGAACATGACAGACCCAGGATTCATTACCTTCCCTACTTTTCCAATCCATCTATCCGCACTCCCTTCTCTGCTGAGTACACAGGTAGTTGTAAGAAGACAGGTGACGCCCAACAGACAGGGAAGGAAGAGTTGAATGAACACATAAATGAGCCATTCATACAGCATTTAGGAAGTCAAACTTCCATCTCAGATAAACCAACTGCAGAAAAGAAGTTTTCAGAGGAGGGTGTTTTGGATCAGCTGCCAAACAAACATGTTCGCAGTATGCCTCGTATGTCTTCCTCAGCTTCTGCCTCTTCCTCCTGGAGTCTTCATGATGATAGCAGGCATATATCTGGGATAGGTTCTAACCCTCTGCTTCCTACTCCCCAACTACCATACATGCACCTCTTCCTTGCCCCGTCTGTACGTAATAATGCTAGACTTCAATCTGAACTATCACCTGATTCATCACGCTTCTACAATCTCAACAGCTTGAGACCTGACCTCAGTTCAGCACCAAGAACAGCAGACTGCTACTCGACTATTGTTGGTAATAACATTTTCTCACTGAGTAATATAACTTATGGAATGATAAGGACACAGGCTGACAGGTCATCTGACCTGTTAAAAAACATCTATGGGGAGTCTAAACCTGTTCACACCTCTGCAGCAGATGCTACGCCGGGAGTCAATCAAGATATTACCAGGGAATTGATACAAGCATATGGAAAAGCTCATTTTCTTTCAGCTCCATCACCAGTACCAGACCAGATATTGCAGCTTCCAAACAATAATGACACAGAAGATGGTGGCCCCAGACTTAGTAACTCTAGTTTTACTGTATGTCCACAAAACAGGCCTGCAGTCCTCCAAGAAGACAAGTTGGGAGATGACAGTGATGTCCTGATGGAAACAGCTGTTCCAGCTGTGAACTGCTCAGTCACAAACACCCAGCCGACTCATCCTCCCCTCCAAACCTCCTCCAGCTGTTTGCGTCGTTCTCACAGCGTTCCCTCACTGAGTCTAACAACCTCCGCAAAGAACAAGACCTTCACCCGATCAAAGAGCTTACCTGACATGCTGTTCAAACCCAGCTGTGAGGAGTTCACCCCTGATATCACTGTTGATGAAAACGATGAAACCTACAGGTTCCAGTGCTCCTGCCCAGGCCTGTACCAGTGCAGTGTGACAGGCCTGCTGTTCCACATGGAGGGAGAAGGGGACGTGGTTTACAGGATCGTCCCCTGGAACAGGAGGCTACTGGCCCGACACCACAAGCAGCCTGCAGGACCCCTGTTTGACATCAAATGTCAGCAGCAGTCTGTGTGTCGGCTTCATCTCCCACACTGTGAGATCCGCTCCACAGGTGGAGGTGAGTTCTTGTCAGTCGCTCATGTGAACGACGAGGGCATCGAGTTTATCGGCCCTCAGAAGATCACAGAAACTCACGTTGTTATAAACATCACAGGGTTTTCTGGTTTCGGTAATGTCAAGGATGAAGACTCGCCGGCTGACCCGGTCCGAGCGCTGGTTCTGCTGTTCTACAGGCCCCCGGCTGATCCCGACGCTGAATCCCTCCTCAACGTGTTGCTGCTACCGAGGAACGTGGTGCTCCGGGATGTGCTGCGCACCAGGAAGAAATTAGTTGGAGATGAGAGCTACATAGAGACGTCCCCACACTGTAAACTGCAGCCAAAGCAGGAATACACACTGTCCACTTGTCCTGCAGAGGACTCAGTTCTAGTTCAACCAACAGAAGCAGAGTTTGACTGCGACAACTACGACAACTACTTCCCATCATTCCAGGTGATTTTAGAAACAATGAGGAAACACGTGAAGCTGTTTCTGAGAGACACCAACAGCTCCCACAGTGTCTGGGAAAGACGAGTTTGTCTCACTGGAGTAAAAAGGTCCTGTGGGCCGAGCGCTCTGAATCTCTCTTCAGATAAGAGGCTGTTGGACATACGGAGCAGCTTCATCGAGGGGATATCAGGACCGGTTCTCACAAGTCTGCTGGACAAACTGTTTGAGAAAACGGTGATAGCTGAAGCTGAGAGGGAGTCAGCGGACGAGATGCAGAACAGAAGAGACAAAGCTGGTTTTGTTATCGACACAGTGAGGAAGAAAGGTGAAGCTGCTAGTTCAGAGATGATTGAGTTCCTCTGTGAGGCCGACCCCTTCCTCTGTGAACATCTCGGCTTGATCTGAAGGCAAATCAACAGGTGATGCATGCATTATCTCTAAGGTTTCTAATAATTCAATCACACAGATCCTGTCAGAATCAGTGATTTAAGTGTTTATCACAAACTTCTCAGGGATTCAGCTGCACAGAGGTTATGAACAGGTTCATGTAAAGATTTAGAGACGTAGAGGACGAGGGGGAAATGTATGTAACTGAACAGCAAAATGTATTATAACTGGTGAAATATCTCCATCTACTGGACATTTGATGTACAAGCATCAAATGCAAATACTCACATATGTCCAAAATGTACAGTATTCAAGTCTCTATTAGTAAACTGAGTATTTAAAGCTTAAGTTATATTCATGTTTGATCAACATTTAACCACGTTGGAGCAAATTTCTACAAAAGAAAAGATTTTTCAGGTTTTGGTTGTGTTTGATTTATTTTTTAAGTTTTTAGTTTTGTTTTCTGTCTGTTTATATCAACAGTTAACATTTGGTTTTCAAGTTTGTTTGCAAGTTTTCCGTCTTTTAAATCTGTTTAAATAACCACATGGCTGCAGGGTTGCAGGCATATGATCCAAAATGTTGTACGTGTACATAACAGGGTGACAATTTCATTTTTATTATTAATTCAATGATTAAAAGAGAGATGACTTTGTGTTGAAACATGATGTGATGGTGATTGATGAAGGGGATGATCTCATTGATACCGAACATGAATAAATTAAAATGATCATTTGATGGTAAAATAAATAAAGTAAGGAAAATAAGGGTAAAGGTTGATCATTGTGAAAAAGGTTGCTGAGTTTGGGTGAAAAGAGAACATCCAAATTACTCAAGCTCAACTCTTTAAATCAGGTTTTGAATTTTATACATCTTATCTGTTTTAATTATCAAATTTTAATCAGTACAAGTTCTCTGCTTGTTGAAGTTTGCAATAAAAATTAAAATCACTGCATTTAAAGTACAATTAGTAGACACTAAATGTATTTATTCACCGAGGTAGTAATTCACTAGTGTGTTTAACATCTTTATAGGTTGCTCTAGCCAAAGAAATTAACTTATCCTTGGACCAACTATTTTCCTGGCCACTAAATTAATCCTGGTAACTATACCAATCTAATGGGCGTGGTATTAGTAGTAAGTAGTAGTAGTAGTGTGTGTATTTATTTATATATATATATATATATATAGCACCACAGATCACTTGTCACACCGTGATTACACACTGATAGTAATGGTGATCTAGTCATGTTGTTGTTAAGGATGTGTAGAGGAATAATTCCTTAGTGTTTTACATGAACATAAAGAGTAAAGTTACTTCCTAAAGTCTCTCTCTCAGTGGGGGACGAAGTGAGTCTGTTGGGGTGAAGCAAGCAGCGCTACTTTAGCTCAGTATGGTAAGTAAGTAAGTTTTAAATGTTCACACAGGCTACGAGCCTCACAAACCTCTGTTAGGTGTTTTAGGCTGCAACATATCGCACACAGCCTGCACAGAATTCCATATTTACGTTGTTACCAGACAGCTTAGAAGTCCAAGCTCCTGGGGGCCACTGTCCATGATGCTGATAGACCGTTTAGACAGGGGCGTAGGAGCCACTGTGAACCTGGAGGGGACTTACATTTTTTGTATTATATTTTGTAATATATTGGGTTTCTGTAAATAACATCACAGAGTACGGTCTAGACCTGCTCTTTTATGAAAAGCGCTGTGAGATAACTGTTGTTGTGATTTGGCGCTTTATAATTCAAACCACTTCTGCACTAGTACAGACATCCAAAACATTCTGGTTATTCCATCTTACCCCATGTGGAAAATACCTAAAAAAAAAATACATTTGATTAAACACAAATTTTTTATTTATTTTACTTTATAATATGTTACCCTAAACATAGCCTTATAAAAGATTAAAAAACCTATAAAATGTTCTTTAATGTGTCAGAAAATAGACATTGAGCTTTGGGGGCATCTTACCCCACTAGCTGGGAAAATGCTTCTCCTAAAACTAACATTTGATAAAATTCAAATAATTTGTCAACTGTAGCTATTTATTTTACATTGAGCTTAGGGGCCGTCTCTCCCCACACTACCTACAGCAGGCTGTGCATCATGCGTAAAGCCCAACAGGACTGTTTTATCCACACATATTCTCTCTCTCTCTCTCTCTCTCTCTCTCTCTCTCTCTCTCTCTCTCTGCGCATCTTAAAATGACTGTTGGAAAAAAATGCTGATTTCCATTAAAAGAAGCTCAATGACAGGAAGCAGTTAATATATCAGAATCAATCCAGTGATCATCTGACTGAGATGTTGTGTAGGCCTAATCTACATTTGCTCTGCAGACACTAAATACTTTTCAATATGCTGTTATGTAAAGTGAAAAAGTATTTTCCTTGCCGGTGTTAAACCGGCTTGTGAGAGGACGAAGCAGGCTGCTTTCCAACACGGCCAGCAGGGCCATGGTGTGCGCTCACTGGGTTTCAGTTGTATTAGCAGAACAATAAAGTCTGAAAAGATGTTTGCCTGATTTTCTAAATGCTTGCATCTGACCAGCTCGTTCATATCTGTGACAATCGCCCATCTCTTTGTAACACAAAGGAGACCAGAGCTCTCCTGCGTAACTGCGCGGGCACAGCCTGGAAGAAAGCTCATTTTGGTTAATGAAGCAAAATGCACATAACAGAATAAGTAATGAAGGTATGAATGGAAAATGTAGCGAGAAGTAGATTACTGGCCCAAAGACAATAGGCTACTGGAGTAAGAGTATAGTAGGCTACAGGTAAAAAAAAAAAAAAGGAACGTGAAAAGTTGCCAAAAACAATTTTATTTTTTTATTTTACTCATTTGCTTTACTTGTAACAGCTTACAGGCTACTATCCACCCCTGCTCCTCACTGCGGCCTGCAGGTATAAGTAACAACTTTTCAGAACCACCTTCGCGTTGGGTGGCATGTTTTTTCCACATTTCAGACTTTTTAATGTTACGATGAAACCATCTTAATGTCTCGTTGCTGCTGTTTACATTCAACCCCGACGCACATTTAAAAAATGCACAGCGAATGTTCGGGGTGGACACGTGCAGCCATGGCTAAATAACTAGATTGGTTTCTTTAAATTTTGTTTTATTTTATATGTTACACTGTTTTAATACACATTTAATTATATGTTAAGTTCTGTAGGTGTAGAATGAAGGGGCAACAAACTTTATTTTCGTTTTAATAGAATGATAAATAAACTCTCATAAACCTTATTAGTCATTCAAAATTTCGCACCTTTAGCATTTTTTAAAACTAAATGACTGAAACACTCCTGACGTCACACCTGCTGTCATTTACTAGTACAACCTATGACGTAATTGTCCTTTGATGTGTGCCATCAAAGGACAATTACGTCATATAGGCCTATATAAGGCATTGAAAGCCCGTTGGAGCTCATTTCAGCGCAGACTCCTCTCCCAGCTACACAGAAAGATCCACTCAAGAATCAACTTAACTTATTTCTCACCTTTGTGAAGAAAATATTTAAAAACTTGACAACAATATTTGGATATAGGAAAAAAATTGCCAGCAAACATTAATTAAAGGACAAATTTCAGCCGACATGCCGATCTTCATGTTGGGTCTGGTTGTGGTTCCCTGGGTCACCACAGCAGCTGATCGACTCATCAGATATGCACTGGGACATGATAGCGCCAGTTCACCCGGGGTTGACCAAGCAGAACCTTTGGTCCATGAATCACCCACAGACATGGTTCCACCTCCAGTCCAGACCGAGCTGGTCCATCAATCACCCACAGACATGGTTCCACCTCCACTGCAGACAGAGCTGGTCCATCATCACCCACAGACATGGTTCCACCTCCAGTCCAGACAGAGCTGGTCCATGAATCACCCACAGACATGGTTCCACCTCCAGTCCAGACGAGCTGGTCCCAATCACCCACAGACATGGTTCCACCTCCACTGCAGCAGAGCTGGTCCATCATCACCCACAGACATGGTTCCACCTCCACTGCAGACAGAGCTGGTCCATCAATCACCCACAGACATGGTTCCACCTCCAGCAGAAGCTGGTCCATGAATCACCCACAGACATGGTTCCACCTCCAGTCCAGACAGAGCTGGTATCATCACCCACAGACATGGTTCCACCTCCACTGCAGACAGAGCTGGTCTATGAATCACCCACAGACATGGTTCCACCTCCACTGCAGACAGAGCTGGTCCATCAGTCACCCACAGACATGGTTCCACCTCCACTGCAGGCAGAGCTGGTCCATCAATCACCCACAGACATGGTTCCACCTCCACTGCAGACAGAGCTGGTCCATCAATCACCCACAGACATGGTTCCACCTCCACTGCAGACAGAGCTGGTCCATCAATCACCCACAGACATGGTTCCACCTCCAGCGCAGAGCTGGTCCATCAATCACCCACAGACATGGTTCCACCTCCAGTCCAGACAGAGCTGGTCCATGAATCACCCACAGACATGGTTCCACCTCCAGTCCAGACAGAGCTGGTCTATCAGTCACCCACAGACATGGTTCCACCTCCAGTCCAGCAGAGCTGGTCCATCATCACCACAGACATGGTTCCACCTCCAGCAGCGAGCTGGTCTATGAATCACACAGACATGGTTCCACCTCCACTGCAGACAGAGCTGGTCATGAATCACCCACAGACATGGTTCCACCTCCACTGCAGGCAGAGCTGGTCATGAATCACCCACAGACATGGTTCCACCTCCACTGCAGACAGAGCTGGTCATCAATCACCCACAGACATGGTTCCACCTCCAGTCCAGACAGAGCTGGTCTATGAATCACCACAGACATGGTTCCACCTCCACTGCAGACAGACTGGTCTATGAATCACCCACAGACATGGTTCCACCTCCAGTCCAGGCAGAGCTGGTCTAGTCACCCACAGACATGGTTCCACCTCCAGTCCAGCAGAGCTGGTCATCAGTCACCCACAGACATGGTTCCACCTCCACTGCAGACAGAGCTGGTCTAGTCACCCACAGACATGGTTCCACCTCCACTGCAGGCAGAGCTGGTCCATCAGTCACCCACAGACATGGTTCCACCTCCACTGCAGGCAGAGCTGGTCATCAATCACCCACAGACATGGTTCCACCTCCAGCAGACAGAGCTGGTCCAGCATCACCCACAGACATGGTTCCACCTCCACTGCAGCAGAGCTGGTCCATCATCACCCACAGACATGGTTCCACCTCCAGTCCAGACAGAGCTGGTCTATGAATCACCCACAGACATGGTTCCACCTCCAGTCCAGACAGAGCTGG